AGAACAGCTAAGACCATGATGTTCAACACACTAGCCACATGTGGCTGTTTGGCCAGTTGAGTGGCTAGTTCACTATAGCAGTAGTCACTATAATGGCTACTACTTCAGATAGAAAAGGACTTGGAACAGGGATAGAGATCCCAAGATGCAAAGCAAGTGCATCTTGTGCCTTAAGAATCTGCAAGTCTGGTTGTGTCATCAGTCACAGTGAGAGATTGTCAATTCAAGTCCTATCCTTCTAGTATGGTAAGCTTAGTTTGCATTTTTGTTCATTTATTAGGTATTGTGCTTAAATCTGTTGGTTATCACTTAAAATCTATCTTTTTCTGATTAATAAACTTATTTTATGTTTTAATCTAAACCATTACGTTTGAAATGAAATGCTTGGGAATCTTAATTCAAGGGGCAGGGACTATTGCATGTCCTCTCCATATTGGAGGTGTGTGTGTGAACTCTATGAATGTATGCTATACAGTTCCCTGTGCAGTGCAAGGTAGTATAATTTTTGGTTTATTCACTAATGCGAGAGAGGAGGAACTGCATGTCTGCAGAGCTGGGGGTTGTCTTGGCTATAGCTTCTCTATTGTTGGTTCACGCTGTGGCTGGTCAGAGAGCCTGCAATTACTGCAGCTGGGTGTGTCCCATTTATTAATGGCATGACATTTATTAAAATTCTATGACCATGAAATTGACCAAAATGTACTGTGAATTTGGTAGAGAACTAGTTATCTGGAAAAACTATTGTTTAGATAGTGGTATTACGGTTGTCTGGGGAGGGGGAAGGGGGCCTAAAAAGACATTTTAAATGATTATTCCCAGTGGATGTCGTCAATATCATTGATTTAAATCATTTCACTTTTATTTCTTTTTTGTAGGTTTATGATGTTGCAATCTGAAGTTGAAAAATCATTGTTGAGATTTCTGAAAATGAGACAAAGCTTAACAAGTTTACAGGTCTGTTTTCCACTGGCTTTAATTTTCTTGATGTATTTTAAAAAGAAACTTGAAGAAAATGAAATGCTGTATAAAGTAGTCTTTGAGACTTAAAGGCAAGAAAAGAAAGCTACATATAAATTGAACAGATTTGACTGAAAATCATTGAGACACAAATAGAGAAGCTCATGGCACCAAGTCACTTTTTTTTCACCAAGTCACTTTTCAGAGTACACTTGCACCGACTAAGTATGACCTCCTGCATAACACGGTAATATCTTTGCTTGTCCACAATTTGAAGCAGAAACAAATCCCACAGCAAGAGAAAAATTCATACCTCTAAACCAGTGAGCCAAATCGACTGTTCTTAACTTGTATCCTGGTGTCTAGGTTGTATGCAAATTGCACAGCATAAGGTCATTACTAACTTGCATTGACAGTTAATCTTGTAAATTATTGCTTTGTAGAATGAATGTACTGTATATTTTAGAGAGTATGTCTGTCTGGTAATCAAGAACTCTTAAATGGTAGGGATGTCATCATGTAGACAATTACACAATTAACCGATAAGCCTAAAATCATCGGTTAATCTTATTGACTACACACCTTCGCCCCCTCCCTTGCTGCCACCTGCCTCCCCAACTCCACACTGCTTCTTCTATCGGGGGGTTAGGGAAGGCTGCCACAAAGCAGCCTCTGTCAGTGGTGGGCCTCTGTCCACAGGGAGCATAGATCCCCTATGGACAGGGGCTTCTGCCACCCCACGCAGCAGGCAGCTGGTACAGAGGCAGCAGCGCAACGTAGCAGGGGTTCTCCCCAGGAGTGGGGCCGGGAACACATTGGCTGCCGACCCTGCTCTGGGGACTATTGGATAGTCGTGTAACTGCTAATTATACGATATCTAACATCCCTACTGAACGGTAAGAGCTAGGATTGCCAAATTCAGTGTGCAGCTTCCTCTTATCATAACTTAAAGTAACATAATGGTTTAGATCTGCCTGAAATGGAATTGCTTCTTATCCAGCCAAACAGAAATGAGACAGAAACACAGTCCTCAAAATTGACATAACTGAGGAAATGATAAGAGACTGAACCAAGATGAGGAAGAAAAATAGGATGAACCTGGAATAGGATTGCATCTTAATAAACTTTACAGAAAAGAGATAAAACTGATTAATTTGGAGTAATGGGCTGTTTTGGAACAGCTAAATCAATGCTTAAGGTTTAAAAATTAGAAGAAAATGTTATTGGAAACCAAATTGACTCTAGCCCTTTTTTTATTAAAACATATTGAATGATAGGAGTTTATAGTGATGAAGAAACAAAATACACTTGATAGAATTGCTGAATTACAGATCCAAGCAACATAGGTAAATTTGCTATCTGGACCATAAGAATGGTCCAACTAGCTTGTCTTCTGACAGTGGCTACTAGTTTAGTGGGAATGAACAGACCTGGGCAATTACCAGGTGATCCAGTCCTTGTCATCTAATCCTAATTTCTGTCAGTCCTACTCCTGTAAGGAATTAAAAATTAAACACCTGTTTAGGTTGAAGTGATCATACAATTCAATTAATTGTTAATATGTCAGCTTTTGATACAGTCTGTAAAATGTTGTGCACACTGAATCAATTCATGAAAGAGCTCTCACATACGTCAATATACTCAGAAATAATTCTGCCTGTTCAAATTATTGTTTTGATTTATTTTACTTAAAATATGCAGGCTGCCACTATTGTTTCAAAAAGATGTATTTAGATTGCCACCCTTGCACTGTTTTTGAAATCTTTTTAGTTAAAGAGTATTTCAATTTGGCTTTTTCAGATGCCTTTAAAAATAAAATCTTGGTCTTGCAAATTAGGGACGTAAAGCCCTGTTTTATTGGTTACCCTGTTAAACGTATCATTTAACTGGTTAACCAATTTAAGGGGAGGATAGATGGGGGGATGTCACTGTAGACTGGCTGCGGTGGTCACACTGTTGGGCTGGAGCAACCCCCTATCTTCCCTCCGTCCATTTTTCAGATGCCTTTAAAAATAAAATCTTGGTCTTGCAAATTAGGGACGTAAAGCCCTGTTTTATTGGTTACCCTGTTAAACGTATCATTTAACTGGTTAACCAATTTAAGGGGAGGATAGATGGGGGGATGTCACTGTAGACTGGCTGCGGTGGTCACACTGTTGGGCTGGAGCAACCCCCTATCTTCCCTCCGTCCAAAGGCAGGGGCTACTCCAGCATCTCGGCCAGAGCAGCCCCTGCCTGGAGCAGCCAGGGAACCCCACAGGCAGAGGCTGCTGCTGTGTCCTGGTTGGAGCAGCCCCTGCCTGCGAGGCACTCAGGCCCATCACAGACAGCCTTCCTGGTTAACCAGTTACATTAGCAACAGGAATGTGAATGTTTAATAGATACAGTGGGGATTTTTAGGTTTTTTTATTAAAGCTGAAGACCATGTAGAAGAGAATCTTAAAAGCTTGATAGAAATTCTTTCTTTATTAACACATTAAGGCACATTCATACACATACCAGAATTGCTCTTCTGGGAATCAGATGTGACTCTCTCTATTGAAAAAGCTGAAAATATATAAATGAAGCAAAAATAACAGACGCATTTAAAAGTACACAAGGTCATTTTTGAAAATGGAACTATTTATTTAGGAGCTTAAGTCCCAGTGCCTTTCACTCACTTAATTCACTTAGGTGCTTATGAAAATTTCACCCTTTGCTGGGGTAGGTTAATTATAAGTTGAATTGAAAATGTTTGTTAGACTGATTATGCAGGGCAGTAGCTGTGTTGGTGACAGGACATTAGAGAGACAAAGTAGGTGAGATAATAGCTGAAGAACTCTGTGTAAGCTTGAAAGCTTGTCTCTCTCACAGAAGTTGGTCCAATAGAAAATATTATTTCACCTACCTTTTCTCACTCTGTATGTTGCCTGGGTTTAGGAATAGAATTACAGTAATATTGTTTTTAATTCTACTTTCAGGCTCTAGAGGGCAGTGGAGAGCTTGAAAATATTTTTGGTATCTCAGACTCTGCCTGTAACTTGAAGGCTGAAGTGCAAAAGACCAAAGCGCTAGGTAAGCTTTAACAGTTTTAACCCTTTTACTATTATTTAACAAATAACATGGATCAGATTTCATAATAAATATGCTAATTTTGAATTTTACAATACTACAGTCACTAATATTAGGTGCAGCAATACAAATAGCATTTTTGTAAACAGGATGCTAGTGTTTAAGTGTCTTTATGCTTACTTTACTAACCAAAGCAAGTACGTTCAGGATAGGCCCAAACTTTCAAACTTCACTGCACCATTACCCCCTTCTGACAATAAAAATTACTACCTAACCCCCAGGACAGGAGCCTGAAGCCAAAGCCTGAAGCTGAATGAGTCCCACTGCCCCAGCCAGGGGGCCAAACCCAAAGGACTTCATCCTCAGCCCACTGTCCAGGACTGAAGCCCTTGGGGCTTTAGCTTCAGCCCTGGGTAGTGGGTTTTGGGCTTCGACTTCAACTCTGGATCCCAGCATGCCTCAGCCAGCCAGCCCTGGTAACTCCATTAAAATGGGGTCATGACCCACTTTGGGATCTAGTCCCACAGTTTGAAACCCACTGAGATAGGGCATTACATCAGCCTCCTGGACTTAGCAAACAAGATGTCAGATCTTTGTGGCATGCAAGCATTTCTGCTAACAGTAAAAGGAAAGAACTATTTCTCTGATCTTGAGACAAAATGTTATGTTAGCATCAAGTGAGAGCGTAAGAAAAATAATGGGTGGAACAGAAGCACTAATTTGAGACACTGAGCTTGGATTTTTCAGATTATTTTTTATTATGAGTTTTAGCCAACAATGTGTGCTGGTTTTAATATCTTTTAAAAAGTCCATCTGCGTGAGGGGATAAAGAAAAGGTATCTTGTCTTTAGCTGCTTTCATTAAAATCTTTAGTGTAAAGTGTTCTTGACCTTTAAATGTGTTTTATTCATTAGTGACTGAAGCAGAAAAACTGAAGCTGCTGAAAAGGAGTAATGCAAACCATCCTGCCCGAGGTAATATTTATTTTTAAATTTGTTATGTAGCATCTGCTTTGATGGTTAATAGCCATCATTGGGCTCCTTTCACTGACTTCCTTTTGAAAGTCTTCAAATAACCTTTAGCAAAGAACCATATCAGATTTGTGTTTCCTTCCTATATATAGGCTAAACTAATCTTTCTTTTATGTTCTTTGAAACTTTGTTTCTTTTTAGCTGTTTTGTTGTACGCAGAAGTTCTTATTGAAGAAACAATGCATAAGGAGGGCAGTTAAGTATTAATGCATTGGGGCCTTATCTAAAGGCCATTGAAGTTAGTCATGCCCTTTAGCCTTTTTATTTATAAACATACTATCTACCAGTTGCCATTATTCATCCTCGTCTTCCATCACACGCAACTTTCTTTGCATCTTTTTGCTTCAGAGACCATATTGCTTTATCTCTGTTATGAGGTTACTAGTACACTCTTGAGGACACTGAAATACTAAACATTACATCATTTCATAACTCTTATTCTGGCAGATAAAAATTCTGACTAAGCTGATTAAAAATACAATTGAAACTACAGCAGAAAAAGAATGAGATTGTGTCCTAGTTCACGAGAATCAATACTTCTGTAGGGTAGAGAAAGAAAAGTGTTAAGAACTTTAACTGCAATAAATGGTGAGTTCAAAGCAAAGAAATGGTGTGAACTGAGTGAGTATGTATTAATGTACCACTGACTATGGGCTGTTATAGCAATAGACCAATGTCATCTTTAAGATGAGAAAAAGTGTCACTATAGGACTATTGCAAACTTGTCATAACTTTGAGGAGATGAAATGACGACCAATTAAAGGATTTTCTTTTCTGGAAAGCGCTTGGCACTTGATGTAGCAGGAATCTTTGGAGCAGCAGTGGCGCCATCAAAGTAACAACAACTGCACTCTGCAAACCAGTGATTTACCATCTCATCACTGGGCCTTTATGCCGATCCTGAAAGACGTGACTGAGTCAAGTGATGAAAGGAATAGAACACTGGATTATGACTCAGAGATCTAGGTTCTGTCTTCCAGGGCACTGCCACTGGTTGGATTAGTGCCCTTAGGCAAGTAACTGCCCCTCTCTGTGCCTTGTTTTCATATCTGTAAAATGGAGATAATCCTACTGCCCTCCTGTTTAAGCATCTTACAGACAGGTATGATTGGAGTCTCACTAGGGGAGTAGTAGTTTCTAATAACATGAAGGGTAAAGCCAGATATGAACCTAGGTTCTTTGAGTTTCATGGACTTCTGAAATTCCCTGGTAGATAAATAATCTGATGAAACACTGTAGCCATTAGTAATTTACTGCCTGTGCCCTACATGTGTTCTTCCTATTCCACCTCCGAATCAAGTATCCATTATTTTCTGATGACTGATAAAGTGTAAGACACGAAAGACATGTTTCAATTAATTTAAATTTAGACAAGTATAATTGAAAAAAATAAAATGAGGGAATTTCTACTATCCTGTGTTGTGATTGCAAAAGAAACTAAACTTTTTGTCTATTTTAAGTTCCTAACCCACAGAAACTGTTCTAGATACCAACCCATCAAATCAGCATGGATTGCTTCTTAGCTGCAGGTCCCTATGCTTTCTGCTATAGCAAATTCTCCTCCTACAGTGGAAAAAAAATCTTAATTCAAGACACTCTTGCTCGCTCGGAAGAGACTAAGAGAGAAAAGGAACTAGCTGCAACTCCCTTTTGTGTGTGTGTGTGGGGAGGGGGGAGGAATTAAACCATTTGTGCAAAGTGAAAACCAATAGAGAGCATCTTGGGCCATTGCTGACAGGCAGTTGGTGTCTCTCTTGTGAAATGCTTTTTAGCTGCCACAGTGAAACCAATGTATGGGCCCATTTGTGCTACAGAAGATAGTCCATGCCAACTTATCATGCTCATTAGACAACATTTTTTTCACCCTGAATCTGAATTCGTTCTCTGAAAGTAGGACAGAAGCATAGCTACCACTTTAAGTTAAACAACTTTAATGTAGTTACAACTTTAATCACTTTAATTCCACTTCAACAAGGACTAAGTAAGCTTCATTGTGCTGTCTTTAAAAATATGGGAAAAAGAGGAGCAAAGAAAATGTGTGATAAAAGAAAGTATTTGGAGATTTTTTTATTTTATTTTGCCCTTTTAGTTTTGGATGTGGTTTTTTCATAATTATTTTTAATTAGTTATGCTCAAAACTTGAAACCTATGACTATTCTGTGGCTTGATACAGCTGGAATGTCACATTATCATCACATGGTGAGGCATGAAATTTATTTACTTTACATAAACAACCTCTGCTTAAAACAACTTAATACAGAAAATTCCTTAGTCAATGAGCAGCATTATGTAGGACTCAGTATATCATTTTGTGTGATCAGCATAAAAAATGGCATCATTGTTGGTCCATGACTAGCATTTACAGTAAACAAAATGTTTTTGAATAAAATGTAAGCAAACTCTAGAGCAGCTGCCAAGAGATGAAATCTCATCAGCTTGCTGCAGTCCAAAACATGCTTTGTGTATGGTGAGAATAAATATATAGGTTGCTTTGTGCATATTTTAAAGAATGCTTAACAGTTTCAGCATTTAGAGGACTGATGATAAAATTCAAAACAGTGAAGCAACTTTAGCTGGCAGTTACAAAATATTAATAGTTTCTCTACATTTCCTGAGAAGAAAAACATTGTAGCACTAAAATGAGCACAAACCATGCCCATGAATGAGTCTGTTGTGTTCTGCAAGGCTCAGTAGAGAGTCTTCTGGCTAAATATTCTCAGATGATCATATATTTACAGTGTTAAGAAAACTATATTCAGAACTTTAATTCATAGGCTACATTCAAATAGGGAAATGAGCCCATTTTCCAGGTACTCATGCTTGCAAGAAGTTAGGTAAATTTGGTATTACTCTTCCCTGACACCAATAAGGAAGTTTTAACTCCTCCCTATTTTTGTTCAGGGCAATGGAACCAATTTTCCCCTCTCCCTACAAAAACACTAACAATATTGGTTTTCAGGTGAACAAGTCACTCTTTAACTTAACCACATGGGAACAGGTATGTGCAACTAAGGAAGTTAAAACTGTATGAGATATCAGTCTAGATGATTTCAAGTTCCTGTTAGCCTCCAGTCTTGCTGTACCTCACAAGGTGGATGGTAGTTTTCTTGTCTCTGGTTAGTTATACCTTATATACCAGAGGAGGCTGACAAGAAAACAAATAACTGCTCCTGCATGCAAGCAGTGCAAACTGCTCCAACTGGGTTTTTCTGTCACTTGTACATAAATTCTTAAACATCATGTTCTCAACCATCAGTTGATACCAGACTACAGTTGCTCAAACTCACTGCTCAGTCTAAACCAGGCATGTCCAAAGTCCGGCCCGCGGGCCAATTGCGGCCCGTGTTCCGATTTAATACGGCCCCCGCTTCCTCCCCCTCTCCTGGCTCCCCGGTGCTCTTTTGAACTGGTGCGTCCAGCGCGCTGCTTCCGGCCGTGCCGCCGCTGCCCATGGCCTCCGTGGTCCTAGAGCCTGCCCTCTAGGGCACGTCCGCAGCCCCGCTCCCCCGCTCGGCTGTGGGTTCGCCCTGCCCCCCGGGCCACCGTGAGGCTGGCGTGCCCTGCGCTCTCCGCCCGCCTCCGACCCTGCGGGCCCTCCGCCTTGGGGCTGAGAGTGCGGGGACGGCCCTCACGCATGTTCACTTCTTCAAATCTGGCCCTCTTTGAAAAAAGTTTGGACACCCCTGGTCTAAACTATCTGGACATTATTCTGCACTTACACAATAGACTATAAAGAGCAAACCATCTGTAAAGGGATTTCTTTAGTAACAAGATCAGTTTCCCTTCATTCTATTTGTTTTCATACTTAAGTCTTTAATGCTGTTCTATTTCATGCACAACAAAGATTTTTGTTTCATTGTAACTTGCATTTTGTGGATAAAAGTGGTTTCTTTGCCGAAGCTTGAATACATCTTTTTGTGATCCATCCAAGAGTCATTGTCCTCCTAGCTTGGAATTATACTTATGGAAAATTTGATGGCCTTACAGGCTGAAGAAGGCAATAAGTGTCTAGACCAGTGTCCAAATTCTATAGTGCCATTGAATTGTTGTAGGTTCAAGTGACTGTCTTGGTTGAAGTGAGAAACTAACTTTCTCCATGAGAGAAATACCATTGATGTGTAAGATTGTAGACAGGTTTTTTTGACTCATGGTGTATTATATTTTCTTTCTTCATTGTTTAAAAAAATTTCCCAGCAGGCTCTGGTTTTACTGTGTTGCATGTGTACCTTAGAGTGTAAATATAAAATACATTTTGAAATTTGGAAGGTATGAAAGTCTGAGGTCAGAGACATGAACTTTTTGGGGAGTAAGTCATAAACTTCTCCGATGATTTAACATCCTGTGCTATGCAGATGAAATATTAAGCTATTAACTGTTGGCTGACAGAAATGCACGAGACACACAGCTATTAGACTTCAGACATATGTATATACTAGACTGTCAACTTACCTTCTCTATGTGGGTATCAACCATATGGATTCAAGAACTTTCACACCTTTGTTTATTCCCTATTTTCCTATCTACTTTTTTCAGAATCAATTTTTAAAATAATCTGGCCAATTGAGACTTTAGAATACGAAGCCTAATGAAAAATTAAAAAGAACTACTGATTCATTACAATATGAATATGTATAACAACTTCCACATGGCTATAAATACTCTGTCTGTAATCTCCTAGGAATATAATTATTTTAAATAAAGAAACAGTTTGAACTCACTTAATAGCAATCTTACGTTTAAGAGGTGTAAATAACTTTCTATCCAGACATTACAAATATCCAGGTGCTCTGTATGTGCTGATGACAACAAAATTGAAAAGAAAGACTGTAATAATTCTGACTGGTTTTCTCTGCAGAAGATATTGATTATTTGTGTGTGGTGAGAGATTTGGAAAATTCAATTAAAGGAGTTGTGCAAAGGTTTCATAAATTTTCCCTGTACAGCGTGTACACAGACATTGTTGTGTATTAAATCAATGCAGCACTTCACAATATATTTTCTTTGAAACATAAAAATAAATAACATTTAAACAGTTCTGCTTACTACAGAAACAAATTTTATTTTCTGTGAAGCATTTAGTCATGTGCTATCACTGACTCATACACATTTGCCAGCTGTAACAAATTTTATAGACATTTTCTCCAGAGACATAGCTCATATACTATGAATTTTTAAATGAGCAAGTGGTGAAGAAGGGATGTCAGCAATATAAAAATTGATCAGTTAAAAGATAAAAGCATAAGTAAAGAGATTTGTATGGTAGTCTTAATAGGTTTTATTAAATAAAAATACTATAAAAAGACAGTAATGAATAGACTGAAGGTTTTAACTGTGGTTGAGGTGAAGAAAAATTATTCTGGCACATTTAGTAGAAGATTGGTTTTATAGCACCTGACAGGTGAACATTTTTTCTCTCTTCTTTTTAGATGTGTAAATGTTTCAGAGCAGTCCAATTGAGGAGTGGGAGGGGACAGGAGACAGGCCTTGGAAAGATCCTGTCCTTTTTTCTGTAGTTGGGAACTTCTGCCATCCCATAGAAGCTGCAGGGCAGGATTTGTACCCAGTATTCAAGCAACTGTCATGCACGCCTATGCGCTGAGACTTTAGTTTGGGTTTCTTGTCTAGCTCCCTTATCCAGTTGGGGAACGTGTTGGAGAAAGCAGTCTCTGCTAGCTGGGAGCTTTTATTAGAGCAAAGACTGCAACAATCCTTCTACCTCTGCTTTTCTGGTGAACTTCCTAGAATTCTGCTCTGGCCGACTGGGTTTCCACAGCAGGGTATGCACTGGGTAGCATTTTTTCTAGTTGCAGTGGCCAAGACAGGATTTGACAGTGGTGAAGGTTGGGTAAATTTTGTTAGGTTTGTATTTATTAAAAGATTGGGGGGGGGGTATTAATTAAGACTTATGCGTATAAAGGTGTTGAACATTATGAAAATGTGTATTATTATTGTTTGAGTCATAGGGTACATCTACACAGAAGGGCTAAAGTTGGAATAAGCTACACAACTTTAGCGTATATCAATTGTGTAGCTTAAGTAAAAAAAGCTTACCGTATTTTCCGGCGTATAGGGCGACTGGGTGTATAAGACGACCCCCTATCTTTTTAATTAAAAGATAGGGTTTCATCTTATACCCCAGCGCCCCTCCGCCTCCTTTGCTCCCGGTGTCCCTGGTCTGCTGGAGATGGTCCCCAGCAGACCAGAGGCACCGGGAGCAAAGCC